TTGTTTGCAGATATTCTACTTCGTTGGGTTCGGGTTATTCTGTGTGGAAACAATGTGAACCTTTAAGCCAATTTATCATTACATATTTATTTTTCCCGCTGTTCCTCTTGCTCTATATTTTACCGTCAACCGAAAAGTCCAACTTCTCTTTCCCTCTCTATCTTCTCAACAGCGAAACCAAGTTTTCTCTCTCTAGAGAATTTCGCTATTCTATCTGTATGAACACACAATTTATTCAAAAGAATAAAATTCTTAAATTTGAGTTTTCAACTACCTTCTTATGAAAGCTTCTTCCTTTTTCTTCTCTCTAGTTTAGTTCCTCGTCATTTATATTTGTCCCATTTTCAGCTTCTTTTTTTAAGGTTTTGCAGAAAACGATTCTAAACAGATGGCTGGTCGTTTGGATGAAAACCCATTCGCTGAAGAAGAAGACGAAGCTAACCCTTTCTCAGTTAGTTTCTCTTTCTCTCTTTCTGTTGTTTGATGATGTTTTTTAGTTGTTTGATGAAAGGTTTATTAACAGATTATACGTTGACTTGATTTTACTCACTGATCACTTTCTGGGATTTCTGTTTGATCTGAAATCTTGGTTGAATTATGGTTATTGGAAGTGTTTTACTTGGTTGTTGTAGTTGATGTGGTCATTTCAACGACTTTATGTTTTTTTTTTGTTACTGAAAATGCATTAAATAAAGTAGAAAATCCATATCAAGCTTATTCAATTATTAAAATATAATCAAATTAATAAACTTCCCAGAGCTAAAAAAAACTTGTTCTTTGCACTTTGATGAAGCTTAATCCTTGAAAAGAAGACTATGATGCATTTTCTGGGTTTTATGACTTGATTCATATGTATAACTTAGTATACAGATGGTAGCCAAATTCACTTTTAATATGATTCTTTCGTTTAAATGATTTCTACCTGCAGGATCCAGCCGTGAGAGGGAAGGCATCTGGTCAGTCTAAATTTGTAGGTCTATTTTCGAAGGTAAACGAAACCCATGCTAATATAGTTTCTAGGGAATATGTCAAGGTTTAGCAGTTCTATGTTGTTGAAGGTAAATTCTATTGTAAGATTGTGGTGATCAACCTAAAAACTTAGTTATTTTTCTAATGCTGATAGGTTTAGCAGTTAACTTGGATATGTCAAGGTTTAGGATGGTTGAGTTCAGAAAAAATAGGTTGCTTAGCATTGCTTCAACGTTGGGAAAACTGGAAAGTTTTCATATAATAATATTTGCTTCTTGAATATGTATCATGAATACATTTTCAGAATGTTCCAAGCGCTCCACCCACATCAAACTCAAGACTTTCATCACTACCACCAGAACGTGCTGGTTTCAATTAGGTCGTGAGGCAACAATTGGCATTCCTCTGGATACAGCTTCAAGAGGATCATACCAGGTTATTGAAGAGTGAAAAGCTGTCCCTAAATGCTATTTCCATTGCTTGGTTAGGCGTTTGATCTCACTGTTATGGATTTACGGCATAAATCTAGGATTTGAAGAAGAAAGAGAAGGAACTCCAAGCAAAGGAGGCTGAACTGAATAGGCGGGAGCAGGTATATTGTGGAAAGAAAATTTTGAACTTTGAATTCATTCTTATTTTACAGATCATAGATTTTATTTCTGTTCATGCAAGTTTTTTTTTCATAAATAAATAGCAAGAACTTAATTTGTTTTCTGCCCTTTGGCACCCTATGAATTATTGGATCCATACAATTTTCGCTGATCGGCTTATTCCCTGCAGGAAGTGAGACGGAAAGAAGAGGCAGCAGCAAGAGGTACCTTTCATTATAATTTGACTATTCACATTGAAAACATTTTGTTTTGCTCATTGTTTCAAAATTTGTTGAAGACAACATTTTTTGCAAAATTTTCTTCTGACTTGATTCTTTTTTTCTACCGTGAGCAAGATTTTGACTTCTCTATATTGCAGCTGGAATTGTTTTGGAAGAGAAAAATTGGCCACCATTTTTTCCTATCATTCATCATGATATTGCAAATGACATACCGGTTCATCTACAAAGATTGCAGTATGTCGCATTTTCAACATTTTTAGGTATGCAAGTCTTTTTGAAGGCTTATTTACCTTCTGTTCTACGCCTGGTCTATCTATGTATCACTCAGTGTTCAATCTTGTTGACCAAAATGAAAATTTGTGCTCTGTTCATATGAGTTTGTAATCTCTGAATGATTGCATTGTGTGATTGTTTCTACCATGCTTTTCTTTTGTTTAACTCTTTAGCTGGAAAGGTTTTTTGAGCAAGTCATTTGGTTACGTACAGTTGGGTGATGTATGGCGATTCTATGCAGGATTGTTTTTGTGCCTTCTATGGAACATCGTAGCTGTTACTACAGCATGGATCAGAGGAGAAGGTTAGTTCAGAAATGCACTTTCTTATTGTTTTCTTCTGAATATATAATGTTAGGATTATGCCGTTTTTACTGTATTTATTATTGTTTAGGTGTGAGGATATGGTTCTTGGCTATTATCTTCTTCATAGCAGGGGTTCCAGGAGCCTATGTTTTGTGGTATCGTCCACTGTATCGTGCTTTTAGGTACTTAACATGCTCCACTCCGTTCCTTAATATTGCAGTTCATTTTTCCCTATATATTTTTTAAATGTTGGATTGCCTCTAATGCCAACTATGCAGGAAAGAAAGTGCCCTCTCATTTGGCCGGTTCTTCCTCTTTTATTTGGTAATACCTCGTGTTTCTCAGATATGTTTTGTTTGTTCGAGGAGTCGATAGGTACCGAGCTTTTTATCACATTTTCTTTCCTGTTTATAGGTTCACATCGGCTTTTGCATATTCGCTGCTGTGGCTCCCCCTATAGTTTTTAGAGGGAAGTCACTAACGTATGTTCCTAAACTATTTTTTAACTTATCTTTCACATTCTCAATTTTAACTTGGACTGATAAGTTGCATCTATCTGTCTTTATTTGCACTACATCAATGAATTTGAGTTGACATGACGCGCATTTTGTTTTTTCGGATTCTTCTATCTCAATTAAGGCGTTCTGGTTCATTTTTCTCTTCATACATCTTACCAGTGTTGTTTTGTCCGATACAGCGGGATCCTACCTGCAGTTGATCTTATTGGTAACCATCCATTGGTTGGGGTAAGAATATCCTTAAACCTCGAAAGTTTGATGATTTAACCATTAAAACAGTGAAGCATTTAACCTGAGAAATTTATGCACGTTGAGGTGTTTTGTGGGAACATAGTTAGGAGCAGAAAGAATGATGCTGACTAGTTAAGGCTTGAGCATTGTGAATGCAATTGATGTTAGCAGAAAGAATCAACAGTTTCTCTTGATTTGTCTCAACCATTCTGATGAAAATTATTTTGTTTGTATAGATCTTCTACTTCATTGGTTTTGGATTATTTTGTGTCGAATCGATCATAAGCATCTGGGTTTTCCAGGTATGTTCAGTTCCCAACCTTATTGCAGCAACCACATAAACATGCACGAACGGAGATTCTAACATCATCGGCTATTGGTTTTGCAGCAAGTATACATGTATTTCCGTGGCAGCGGTCAAGCTGCCGAGATGAAACGCGACGCTGCAAGAGGAGCTATGAGGGCTGCCATCTAATGACACTAGCTGCAGCGAGACATACGAAAAACCTCATGTGTTGATTCCCCTTATATGCGTAGAGCTTGTTATTTCTCGTTCGGGGCACTTTGTTGCACCAATCACTGTAATTTCTTGTGTATGTCATCCGATATAAAAATATATATATTGGTCTGGAGATTGATTAGCAGACACCTTATTCACAGACTCGAGTGAATTTCATTTTTCATGTATAGAGTTTCATGTGCAATTGATTCAAAGTGTAGTGTGTAACTAAGACCTTGAGTCTCAAGTGACAGAGATATGCCTGTCCTATCATATAGCCGAAGTGTTAATCTCACCGGCCGCGAATCAAATTTCGAGACTTATGTATACATAGGCGTCTGAGGAGTTCTAAGCAACAAGTCGAAACCAAAAAGGCATTCAAAATTGAATTGTTTGTACTTGCAGCCATCCAAAAAGTTCATCGGAGAGACTTAATTCATCAAGTAAATAGAAATCTAATAGGTTTAGGATTCAAAAATAAAAGATATGCATCGAATTATATCAGGACTTGCCTTGAGAATAGACTTTTTAATCCTAGCCGATGGAGGAAATGGAATAGATTCAACAATATCATAGTGACCAAAAATTACAAGATGATCTGAAACTATGCTTCAAAAGTTTGGATCAACACAAGAAAAAGTGATGCCGAGAGTCACGAGACTCACCACCATAACAGTTACATCACTGTCCCTATTGTCTTTATTGAGATCGTATAATCATATCGTATCAAATATTGTAATCGGACAATGACATTTAACCACCATTGTAATAAATTGGGTTTTCATTATATCGTACGATCATATTGTTTCAGATATCGAAGAAATTTAACTGCGATCGTCCATCACCGATTCATACGTGACATTAGTACTATCATAAATATTTGTGTAAAGTATGACTCATAAATATATCAGAGTTTTCTATTATAAATATATATGTAACCTAAACCTATGAGATATTGAATAAAATTTCTAACGCCGCTTAGACACCGGAGACGTAAGTACATTATCGAACCTCGTTAAAATTCTTGTATTCTTTCTTTTATTTTGCCCGATTCTTCAACAATTTGCAAAAATTAATGAAACTAATTTATAACTATATTATCTCATTTTTCTTATTTAAATTAAAATATGATAATTTATCCCTCCAATGAAGTAGAAAAAACTTATATAATTTTGGAGTAAATATAATATAATTTTGGAGTAAATATATGATAACATATTTTATAGATTCTTAATTATTTGTCAATAAACACTCATATTTCTAACATACATATATTAAAACTCAAGACTTCAATAAATAAAAACAAATCTCTTAACAATTAATTATATAATCAATCCTACATGCATGGTAGAAATAACTAGCTACCAATTATATATATAGTATTAGCCACTAACAATAAGCAATACATTTTTTCTTACAATCCATGGTGCAGCCGCCGCCGCCGCCACCGGCTCCGTACCCTTTTCCGGAGGTGCTAAAAGAGGAGAAGCAGTTAGCAGGACAGGCGAGCTTCTTGTTGAAACAAGGACCCTTCTCTTTGCAAACAACACTGGGCCTAATGACACCACCTTTCGAGTATCCTCCGTTGGGGCCTCCGACTCCGACACCATAACCGCCGCCTATGATCCCATTTCCCCACCCCGGAATCCCAAAACCACCCGGTCCAGGACCGAACAACCCTCCAACCCCACCATTGTTGTTGTTTTGGTCGCTTATTTTGCTGCCTTTGTTTTGCTGGGACGACGATAAAGGTTCGAAAAAATCAGGCCTGAGAGCTGCAGATAGTGAAACAGTGATGAGAATAATAGCCAAGATGAAGATGCTTTTGGTGTTTATCATTTTTGCAGAAGATTTCATTTTAGTTTTCAAGGGGAATAAATGATATTTAAAGCGTGTAAATGAGAGAGAGAGAGAGAGAGAGAGGGAGAGCTGGTAACAGTTGGGGTTGAGGATCCACCATGGATGGGTAGGTTGGGCACCATTATGACGCTATCTTAATTCTTGATGTTAAATGACTCAATCTTAGCTTAATTACTATTAATTATCAAGGCATACTCTTTTGCTTTCGATTTCCCGAATTTAATAGGGGTAAAATTGTTAAAATATTATTTTTTTTAAATATTCAATGTGTACTTGAAAATTTATTTTTTCATATAGTGTGAATGTTTTGAAAAATGCTCAAATGACACAAACTTCCTTCAAACTGCATGCATGCTCGCAAGTTAATAACACTATAATTTTATCAAAATTCCAACATGCATTATAATAATATGAGTAAATATGAAAATAGTATCTTTTTATAAATTTTTTTTGTTGCTCCCCAGGTTCCAAGGCTTTGCCTTTTGGTGGATGAGCCTCCTAATGAAAATTTTCTACATACACAAAGAATCAAACTCGAAACATGCTTAAGTGATATCAAATTGCTTACCACTTGAACTATTTCTGCTAATATCTTTTTATAATTTTTTAATCATCGATAATACACATATCTACAAATTCAACTTCTCAAACTCGGGTACTTAAAAAAAATAACAATCAAATTTTCGCAACTCTTTCTGCCTTTACAAGCTGTTAAGTCCACATATAACCCATCAAAATTAGGTGGGGAGATGCATGCCAAACTGCAACCCTACACAAGCTCTTCATAAAATTTTGAATTACAAATAAATTGTCTTTTTCACACCGTTCGGTCCTTTGAAAACTAAACTTACTAAACTCGAATCAAACTTCAAATTTGAAAATTTTATATTTTGAATTCTATCCTACTCGATGTAGTTATATTATCTTTTCGACATGCCGTCTCATAAATGTAGTGGTTATTTTAGGCATGGTATCACAAGGAGCACATGACACATGGAAAGTATTTGGGTATTAACCATTCGTGTTGATCGGTCAAAAAACACATAAAAGAAGCAATTGCAGCCATTAATGTTGGACATTTCATGTTACACATGGGAATACATCGTTGCAAGTCTTTAATTTGTGGCTGGTATGGTTTTGCATGATTTAATTACATAAAAACCTCCAGCCATTTTATATTTGGGTCTTCCAATGTAGCACCATACAATGAATTGAGGTGGCACATGATAACCCGATTTAACTCAACACCTTCCTTGTTTATCAAAATATCATATCTTTCAACTAACAATCATTTGATTTAGTAGGATGATATAACAAATCTTTTAAATAAGATTATAGGTATGAATTTCTACATTATAAATGAAAAAAAATCTAAGATTATGAGATCCATTCTGACATCGTCTTTAGGCATACACACCTTATTTATCCCACGTAAGCCATTGAATCTTTTTGCTCCTATCTTCCCTCGTACCCCACCAAAATGAATTTATGAAAAAATAACCAAACTTATTATCTGATGCTAAATCAACCCAATAACTCGAGCTTTATAAACAGATGTGCAATGTAATCAATATGCAATGTAATATTGATCAAATATCGGAGTTCCAGCTAGCATCAATGGCATTGATGAATTCTTCATGCAGTTTAGCTCCGGCACAAACGATTATACCCTAATCGAGACCTGCTATGAACATGCCTGTTGACGAAAACGGGTAAAGAAAACAAAAGAACACGAGAATTTTACGAGGTTCGGCAATGTGCTTACGTCCTCGGTGCCTAGGCGGCGCTAGAAGTTTTTATTCAATGATATTTTAGGTCTAGGTTACATCTCTATTTATAATAGAAAACCCTGGTACATAATTACAACGAGACTTTCTTTGTAAGGACAGTTGATGTTCGCTGCGTTCGCTTCGCTCACTCCGCTCCATCTCCTGTCCTCTTTACTGGTATATTTATGAGCCATACCTAACAATGCCTTTCGAAAATCCAGTGGAGATCCCCCTGCATCTGTCACAACACCACCAGCTTCCTGTATGATAAGAACACTAGCTGCATGATCCCATTTCTTTTCTTTGTTCCCAATCCTCGTTAACTTCATAACTATTTCGGCATCCCATCGGGCTATATATGGCCGCAAATTTCGTGATGCTGTACACACACAGAGGTTGTTTCCTGCAAAGAAAAACAGATTATCGGAGTTTTTGTTTATACATATGAAGTTTGTATATTGAAATGAGATCAAACATGAAAAACACATATATATGCACCTAAAGCCATGACTGAGCTAATCCTTCTGTGAAGAAACGCGTTGAATTCGAATTCTCAACTGGATCACAGAAAGTAGCCAATGCTGGATTATCGATTAAGGATACTAGAACCGGTATTGCAGAGTTTGGCCATGTTAGAAGCTTATTCTTCTGGTGTAAAGGTTGTATCCAAGACTCACCGCTACCTTTCCTAGCATAAATCATACACTCTTTATCCCACGATTCGGCCGTTGCAGCGGCAAGTTTAGATAGGATCCGGTGATAGTGATGTTGATAAGTTGGCCATTCTTTCTTCATTAGATAATTCGGGCAACCGGGAACACCGAGCACAACTTCTCCATCCTCTATTAATGCTAACGAAACGGCATATTGATCATCTCGTACATACTCGAACATACTATCAACAGGAACAAGTGCCCAAAATCTTCCAGTCGGGACTCTTGTTGCAGCGACTAATGGCTTCAAGAACATCCGAACTCCCAAGTGGCCTTCCGGACCCTCCAGCCCGAAATAAGGTGCCTCAGCTAGAAAGTCGTTGATTATTTTCACCACAGCATCTAACAGATCAGTTGCATCAGCTTTAGAGAGGCTTGTTGGAAATAAAACGCTCACACAAACAACTTTTATTGAAACTCAAACAAATATTACAAGAGTACTCTCACTCAAAAACAAGAACTACAACTCACTCTTATAAGACTTTGCTTCTTCACTCACTTAGAAGCTCTTAATTTTTCTTTATGCTTAAAACTAAAATGGGAAGGGGTATTTATACTACTCAAGAACAATCCTACACCACACAAATAAACTAATTTAAACCATTACAAATTCAACAAATATCTAACTCTCACCTAACTAAATTGATGTAAGCAATGACATCATTAATTAAATGATGTAAGCAATGACATCTTTAATTAAATGATGTAAGTAATGACATCAATTTAGTTTGGGTTTGGGTTTAGGCTCCCATAATGGATCAAGTTTATGATCCAACACCCTCCCTTAAACTTGATCTCGTGACCCCTAGTAGGTTCCTTAATCTTAAGAAGTCTTCGCTGGTCAGTGGCTTGGTAAAAATATCAGCAACTTGATCTTGTGACTTCACATATTCAACTTCCACATCTTTTCTTGCAACACACTCCCTTATATAGTGGTAGCGAATATCAATGTGCTTGCTTCGATCATGGAATACTGGATTCTTCGCTAAGGCAATGGCTGACTTGTTGTCGACACAAACCTTGGTAGGCTCTTCTTGTATCAAACCAATCTCCTTCAATAGATTTCTAAGCCAAATTGCATGACAAACACATGAAGTAGCAGCAACATATTCCGCTTCACAAGTGGATAATGTGACAATCGGTTGTTTCTTTGACATCCATGTGAATGCAATATCTCCCATGAAAAATACGAATCCAGTAGTGCTCCTTCGATTATCTATGTCTCCACCCCAATCACTGTCGCTATATCCAACAAGCTTGTAATCATTAGAAACTGAATAGAACAAGCCAAAGTCAATTGTACCTTTCAGATAGCGAAGAATTCTCTTTGCGGCTTTAAAATGGGTGGTTGTTGGGGATTCCATGTAGCGACTAACCAATCCAACTGCGTGAAGAATATCGGGTCTCGTGCAAGTTAGATAGCGTAGACTTCCTACCAAACTTTTAAAGAATGTTGGATCTACACTTTCGCCTTCTTCATGTTTGGTCATCTTGATCCCGTATTCTGCCGGTGTGCTTATTGGCTTACAGTTCTCCATCTTGAACTTCTTCAGTATCTCCTTTGCATAGCTTTCCTGTGAAATGAAAATTCCATCATTTTGTTGCTTAACTTCAATGCCAAGGTAGTACGCCATGAGCCCCATGTCTGTCATCTCGAATTCTTTCATCATCACATCCTTGAATTCATTAAACATGCTTGGGTTGCTTCCAGTGAAGATCAAATCATCCACGTAGAGGCACACGATCAAAATATCTTCATCTTTGATCTTGATATATAGAGCATGCTCGTAGGGACATTTGTTGAAGCCATTCTCTTGGAAGTACTTGTCGATTCGGCTATTCCATGCCCTTGGTGCTTGTTTTAGCCCGTAAAGAGCCTTCTTCAACTTCAACACCTTGTCTTCATGCCCTTTGACTTCATAGCATGATGGTTGCTGAATGTAAAGTTCCTCTTCAAGAACTCCATTTAGGAAGGCGGACTTTACATCCATCTGTTGTATCTTCCACTTGTTTTGAGCTGCCAAAGAAATGATTAGTCTGATAGTCTCCAATCGAGCAACAGGAGCAAATACCTCATCATAGTCAATTCCAGCCTTTTGACTATAGCCTTTAGCAACTAGCCTCGCCTTGTGCCTTTCAATCTCTCCTTTGGCGTTTTGCTTTGTTTTGTACACCCATTTGACACCTATCGCCTTATGTCCCTTGGGAAGTGAGGTAAGTTCCCATGTGTCATTCTTCTCGATGGCCTTGATTTCTTCGTCCATCGCATCTCTCCATTTCTTTTCTTGTACCGCTTCTTGAAAGCTCACTGGTTCACAATCGGCAAACAGACAAAATAATGTAAGATTATCTTGTCGTTCAGTTACCTCATAGAGATCTCTAAGGCTTCTTGTGCGTTGCACAACTCTTTCACTCCCACTTGACGATGATAAAGGTGATGAGTCTCCTTGAGTGGTTGATGTTGGTGAAGTGGGTGGAGTTGCAAGCTCTTGTTGAGATTCATCTAGTTGCTCCCTCATTGTCTGCTCATCTTCTTCAAACTGAGGAAA